TTAGAAAAACAATATTTAGCAGCACTATTTTCATGTTTAAGGTAGTGTCTGTTGAGATTTCTTCTAATAGTCTTGGTTAGTTATGGAATGTCAAGAGCATGTGGCGTTTAATCAATTAATAACCACGAACATTAATCGAACAATCTAAAACTTTGACTAAGGCAATCGAGGATCTTCATAGACTACCAGTAGCTGTGAAAATTTTAAGAGCTTTTATTGATGGAACAATAATAATAAAGATGAAGATAACTTAACAGTTTTGGAAGGTTGATTTAAATCTTTCAGTAGCCTACGTCAGCCGCTTGGAAAACATTTTGAACAGCAAGCTGTTTACCATAACTCAATAGCATGGCATCACTATTTAAAGTCGATTTTCACAGCATAAGGTTTCTCAAACATGACCCATAAGAAAGAAAATATAAATATATAATTTTTTGGGTCGGGTGTAAATTCTAGGATAAATTAAAAAAAGGTTCATAACTTTCAGACGGGTAAGAATTTGTTTTCAACAGACTGCCGAAGTGATAATTAACAGATATGACAGGTTTGAGAACTTGATCCAACAGGATTTCAGTCGTAAAATCACTACCGATGTAAATGCAATCACGTTTTTTTTTAAATGGTGGTCTTTAAAGCCTTGAAAGCTAAATATAAGGGTCACCTATTGGATTAAAAGGTCTGTTATGTTGATAGTGATCGGCATTATCAGTACTTAAATTTTAATGTAACACGTAAAAGTGAATTTTAAGATTGTCCATAATAATTCAGCAACATATATGAACTTCTAAACCCATGAATCATAAATTTCAGTGCTCCTAAATTGCCAAGCGAGTAAAAAGATTACTTGAATGTTGCCTATGTCATTAAGTTTTGTTATATTGCCTATAAATTATCCTACTTCTCATTTAGACGTGAGCATTATTAACTATTCAAGACTATCAGTTCCGAACAATGATGAATGATCGTTATGTTGACTTACTTTTTCCCCAGATGCTAAGTTATTTTAGCCTAATATTAAGTGCATACAACAGAAAGCTAAGAACTCGTTTCCGCAAGAAATACAAATGTAGAAACCAAGAATAAATTTTATATTCACATAGGAACATTCTTTTATCATGAACAAATGCACTCAAACGCATGACTTTACTCATCGTTCATACCATTTTCAAGACAAAGTAGCGGATTTTGTGCACTTTGACAGCACTTTTGTCATGTAACCTGACTGAAAACATGGATAGACACGGAAAGATTTGAAAATTAGGCTAGATATGTTATAATTTGCAGAGTAAGGTTGTAAAGTTGGTTTAAACGAATAAAGTTGATACCTGACGGCAAACTATTATTTTATCTCATGCCAATAACTTGTAAAGGCTTAAGAAGCTCATAATCTATTACTTGTGTCAATATGAAAATCCAAAATAAAGTGAAATATTTAAAAAATATCGTAAACAAACCGTGAAGTTGTAGGAGAATGTTCATCACAGTCGCTCGCTTCTATTTCCAGAATGAATGATGACATTTTTGTGATATTAGATGACACTATTGGATCGACACGCAACTCAGCGAATCCATATTTTTGATCCAGTAATTCCACATAAAATGGCGAGCTTTCAGGACTATGTACTTTGAAACGACAAACTTTTCCTTAAAACGTTAATAAGATATAAAAATATACCAAAATTATCGTTAGGTTTGTCAGGGGCTGCTTGAATTCTTGGAATTACATGGACAACTGTTGCGTTAATCCATAAATATCCGATGTATATTTTTGGTTGGCCACATGGAAATACGAACTCAATGCAGCTGCCGGATTCAAGTATAACTAACACAGTTTAAAATATTTATGAACTCACCACTCAAAGCAAAGAAAACAGCTAACAGCATTTTTCCTCGCGCTAACAGGCATCAACAGCTAAATCTAGGTCAAAAAGGAACTTGATCATAAATAGTTTGAAATGATGTATATAAACACACTACATGAACACAAGCAAAACGAAATAAAAAGCCTGAAGGTTTTACGATATCTTAATGTTAGCTAACTTTATATATTTTTTAAGTAATATTACAGATGTGTTTTACCGTCCAAAGCAGTACATTTTGAGCGTGTCTCATGAATAATAGTCAGGTAATAAAGTTACTTGTATCGTGTTTTGACTTAATATCAAGTAGCTGAAAAGGTCGTCATAATGCTTTTTGACCAGATTTCTATGTGATTCTGGCATCATATGCTATGAATTGTTGAGGGTCACTGGTGAATTTTCTCTCATATTTGCAAGCTAAATTGTTCGTTATATATCCTGATGAGAATAAGGAATGCTAACTGTCGAGGTTCATTTATAGACTAATACCATCTGTTTTTATTGTAAAATTGTTAAGTCACTAAACTATGCATATTTATGTCCCTCCTAATATAAGCTTTATTTCGACCCACAGACTATTATTATACGATTTACCGTTCTTGAGTTACACCCATTCTATTAATTACAGTCTCACATTCACAGCATGAATAAGATTTTTATTTCAACAGATTGTAGATGGTAAAGTGGACGTGTAGCTAGAATTTGATAATCTCTTCTTCACAGCATTATCTATAGAAATTTATTTTCAAAAAATTGATGGTGAATTCACTTAAAATAAAAAACATAACACAACCAAATTAATAAGGAAAATATTTATGATCAGCATAAGGTATTATCAAACGTCATAATATTTGTATTCTGCCTATTTGTTTTAGTTAGTGGATAGGAAGTAAACTCTAGTTGTATTCCTTTTCAAAGTAATAGATGATAATATGATAAGAACTATAAACAAAGTACTAACCATAGTTAAGTAATTTGAGCCTGTACAAACTGCATTTTTTCGTTTATTTCTCGACGCGAAACACCCAACACCCAGCGTTTGTTAACGACGAAAGGTTGACTGAGGCTGCTACCAGAATACCTTGAAGTAAAGTTTGAGATCGTACTGAAATACTTGCTTAATCCTGATTGATCACTTCAACAAACCTCAGTTTAAACAGCCAGAGTCAGATGTGTTGTGCTGATTAATAATAATATATTTCTGCAATGATAAGTACACGCCATTTTTACAGGCATAGTCTTGAAATTACAACATTTATTGTTTCACAGTATGCATGTTAAATAAATATAGTCTATCAAAGTGAATATTAATTCATTCATTTCTGAGTAATCTTCCCAATATTCTCCGAAGTGGCACAGCGTCCACGTTACGCACGAGATCTAATCTCTGCATTATTGTGTTAAGATTTTGGTTGTGCTAAGTATTTGTGCATTGCAACTTCTTAAGTTTTTAGCTGTTATAAAGTAGACTTGCAGAGTGCTTGGTGTGACCTTGGGAAAACACGTACGTCTAGTTTGTTCCAATTGTCAGAAGTTCCATAGCTGTGCCATCAGAACATGATTCCGAAAGAAAAAAGAGAAACCGAGGAGCAGCAAGGCACTTGGATATGGACTATAAACAATACTTAACATTTTGTAGTGGAACAGACAGAGGTATGATAAATTATTAAGTTAAATCCACACTAGCCCTTGTAGGTAAAGTAAAATGTGATCAGGGGCTCCAGACGAGAGAATGCAGTGGTAAACAACAATGTGTTGTGATAATCACCAAGGTGGAGTAAGTTCAAATGAAGGGAGGGAAGTCATGGTTGGAATAAGGAAGGCTCTTTATTAGAACAGAAGGTGTATATAGAGAGTAAAGTGTTAAGAAAACTAACAACTATGTCTTTCATTGTCTGGTTTTTTTCATCCGATGCCTGCTACACAGTATTAATGTAAAAGTCCGAGTTAGCATCTCATAGGTTGCCTTTGTACAATAGCTAATTCAGCATAAAATTGGGAACATGAGTCTGAATTGTGAGCGTAGGAGAACAACCTCAATTCCACAGATTGGTCGGCTTGTTCTCAATCATAAAGAGCCTGATACAAACAAAATGTTCTGCCACACAAACACAGGTGGGTTGAATTCATCTCCCTCACCATGAATGCTTGCTGGCTAGTAACTCCAACCTCCCTCCTTTTATGATGTTAGGCTCATTTAAGCTTATTTTTGGATAGATGTCATAACTCACAGAATCCTCTGTGTTTCATATCCTGTTGGAAAAAATTATTTCGATAAGTACCATTTTACAAACTTATCAGGCAGTTATTGACTGTGGGTAAGGCATCGATGTAGTGTTTCAATTGACTATAGTATAAAGTATAGTTTGCCAATTGAAGTATAAGCATTAAGAAGAGTATGTAGCGGTAAATAAATCTCCAAAATAAATAGCCCTGTAAGTTTTCGACATTGGATGCTGACCATATGTTTTAGTGGACTCATCTAGCTGAAGGCGCTCGGTCATGCATCCGCACCAGATCACGTGTGGTAACGCCGTGCTCAACTGCTACTGCAATCGCTAGCCAGATTAGATCAGAGGATTCCGATATATTGGTTATCGCCAAATACACTTCCGATCTCCTCGACCCTGTCTTTTGATTTCTTTGGGTGGGAACGAATCATATTCGAATGTATTACTGGTTGTAGCGTTGTCAAACACTGAATACCTGTGTCATCCTTCAAGTATAATGTAGGATAGTTGTTTATTAAAGCAGGTGGACAAGTGTAGAAGTATATGAGTTGTAGAAAAGGTAACTAGTGGAGAAATAATAATAATTGCTGGCAAACATAGTGTACTGGAGAGTAAAAAGCTGATAAAGAACAAACAAGAAGGCACTCGCATTAACTTGGTGTAAGTATAATTTTTTGCTATCCCAATTGGTGTCAGCTCAAGCGAAACAATATCACACAATCAACTCAACGTATAATATTATACCTCCCCCCCTTGCGACTTGAAACTCTGGACCGATCACAAAATCATTATTTCCTTCTCATAATATGTAATTATGTGCGCTCATGAATGTGTATGTAATAAAAACTGTCTGTTGGCTCTAGTTTGAACAGCTCTACGATTTAACCTCGAGTATGTTTAATTGATTAAAGTTTTCACGATTTCACAGTGTAATGAAAAAGCGCTGTTTTCGAGACTTCGGATGTTTGTGGTCGTCTGATAATGTAGGTATCAGTATTTTGTTTCTTAATTTTTTACATATCGGCTGTAACCACTGACATACACATAGGAATTTTATGTTCACTTCAATTTGTCATCGGGATTTGACGCTTATGTTAAATAGTAACGCTATCTTAACCAAATAGAACTTTATTTTAACGATTTCGCATTAGAGTGGAGAGAACATATAAGTATTACACTAATACGCTGCTATGGCTGCGGTTACTTTTGAAAACTCCGGGTTTGCGATCATAGATTTTGACTGCATAAAATAAACTATCTATCATATGATATATAAATATATATATAATAGGCTCTCCTATCTTATGATAGGGTAGTGTATTGAATCATGTTTATTGGAACTTTTTTAGTTGAAACTAAAGTGTTCTTGTTAAACATTTCGTGCACAAAAACTCACTACCCTGATTAAACGTTAGTTTTCATTAGTTAATCTGAAGTTCATGATGTCACAGACATTAAAGGCTCGATAGCGTTGTTCTTCATGCCTTTGTAACTGAGGATCTCAATTGCGGTCGAACCAGAAGTCAGTAAGGAAGCAGTTTAAGAGTATAGTTTGAAGATAGTCGAAGAATCGAGAAGTGTGTGATCAAAGTGGCCTAGTTATTGTCAGGGACGGGAAGCAGGCCATACTCAGTGGTGATCTGGAGAGAATATGTGACCACGTTCCTTTAGCTAGGGTGTGTCCATTAAAACTAAAAAGGTCAGCATCAATCTTAGAGACTTACAGGATTATTTAGTTTGGGGATCTATTTACCTTTATGGTTATTTAGTGTTTGACATAAATGTTAATCTCTTAGTTTGAATTCCCACAGTATGTCCAACATTAAACACGGAACTCGAGTTCTATCTGGCTATGTTAACTGATTAAGTAACCATCAAGGACTATCTCGGATTGCATTTTTAGACTTTTTTAGACTTAAGAAAATGGTGAAACAATAAACAACCAACTAGTTAACGGTTGTGGCTTGACATTTAAGAACTTCACAAATGGCTGAATAAAGTCAGCAGAACAAAATTATAGGAAATACAAAAGAAATATTAGGAATGAATTCAAAATAAACCCAAGTTTATTCCACATAAACAAAAACATGTAGAATCTCTATTTTTTCCTTATTGGAGTAAAATTCAGTCATCAAACATCATTGATAATAGTCTTTTAATAAATCACGAAACAGTTTCATGGGAGAGGAGATCTTACGCATATGTCACTTAACATCTCAAAAATATTTTAAAACCATAGAATTTATAAAGGGCTTATGAAACATGAAATCTCATGATAATAGATGCTTTATAAAGGGGAATGGTTTGTAATTAGCAACAATAACTAAGTCACTGTTGGTTGCGATTTCGGAATACTTTTCAAGGTTATCCCCTTTCTTCACGTAGCGCAAACTACTGTTAACATTCCGTTAGTTTTCGGACTGTTGTTCCTGTGATTATGTTTAGCGTTATACACGGGAAAAGTTGTCTTGGATATGCTTAGTGTACTCGTATGATAAACAACTGATTAAGTAAGCACGGTGAAAGTACTGTATTTTGTGGGAACAGAAACAACAAACAACCTACTTATCTTAATTAACCACTGTTTTTAAAATGATGTGCGAAAGCGTTCTGATCCTGATTATGTTGAACAGTAAGGTACAATGTCAGTAAAACTGAGTGCTGAAATTAATTATCATGTATGTCCAAAATTTTAGCAGATTTCGAAAGTTATGGGCGTTTGAGCCAGGAGCTAAACTATGTTGTCCGACTCAATTTATTACGGGTGAATTTTCTAGGCATCTCAGCTTTACAAGAAATACTTTTGAAACTTTATGTTTTCACGTTTCTTTGACATTCTGAAGGGTCCTTAGTTTGTCTTTATTTTAGTAAACAAGAGTGAAAATAGGCGGGGCAGTGTACTACGGTTTTTTTAACTAACATTGAGATAGCACATTGTCAGAATAATTTTATATTTAAGTTGTAACTCATATATTTCATCCAAGGATCTAATCAGTAGTCTCAACAAATATGAAAGATACTGGAAAAATACCGGCTAAAATTTACACATGACCTAATGTCATCACATTGAAACACTCCTACAGTGGTGAGAAAGAGGAAATATATGATGCTTATACATAGTTGTGAGTGTATTACTGAGCAATTTACTTTGCAATACTGTGTGCTTGTCTTGAGATCTGATATTTTGTCCTTTATTCATAGATATCATTTCATTTTTTATTCATATTTGCCGGTTTAATCTTTCTTACTGTTACTAAAGCTACTATTCTTCTGACTCTTGCCACTTATCTTCTTGACTTCTGCCAAGTCAATGTGGCTTGAGAACCTGACGTGATGGGATTTGTATCAGGTTCCATACTGACTGTGACTGGCTAACACATGCGTCGGGTTTATAAAATATACTTAGGCTATGTGCAAAATAGGGGTTTGTTTGTGAAATATGGGTCAAAACAAATAGAGGTGATCATAAGCATTAACAAGTTTTTTGATTCCAACTCCTAAGTACCTGTTTATGGAATAAACAGGCAATTATTCTGGGACTCAAAAATCATATGAGACATTCATCATATTCGTAAGGTTTTCCAAACAGGATCAATCGGTTTCTACATCTTAAGTCGTTTTAAAGATTCCTTTGCGTGATAAAAGCGTGTGAAATTTCCGAAACTTGGAAATCTTTACAAAAGCTGTTGAAACGTTTGTCAAATAAAAGTAGACAATTTGTACTTGTTTTTATGATAGCTAACAACAATACCCGAGATATTCCCACTCCAGAGAATTAGGTAATATATTTAACCAGTTAAACAAGTTGTTATTAATTTAAGTTGAATTCACCTTGCTAGCGTTACTGTCTTTACATGGAGATGGTCTCATAGTACAGTGATAGTACAAACCATTCCAAATTGAGTGAAATTCATGTACATAATATGACATAGTAAGTATTATTTTCTCTTCTGACATTTGTCAGCTATATTTAGGTTATAAAAGACGTATAAAGTGTACCAACACTTAGCTTTATAACAAGAACATACTATAGTGATTAAAGCTTACTTTGATTTCCCCATCAATATAAGTCGATTTTCCTGAAATCTAGTAATTCAAGTTGAGTTACATCTATTGTAAAATTCAAATAAGTGTTTATAAAGTCTACATATTTAGAAATATATTTTCAAAGCCGAGTTGTCGCCTTTAATTTTACGTATAAGTTGTTTACAGTTTTATTAAAAGCTATGAGACTAATCGTTATAATTTTGTTAACTGTTATGAGTAAAACTTACGAAATAAGTCGGACGTTTGAATAAAATACGTCCAATCATGAAATATCATGGTCACACATGGAATACAAAACTTGGATAAGTGTTTCATATGCAATCGATGGTGAAGGGTACATTGTATGAAGCCGAGTATTTGTAAAGTACATAAGTATGTTGAATAAGATGTAATGTAATCAGTTACTTTGGCTAGCTCACAATGTGCAAGCGTTTTACCTTGAGAGTAAAAAAAACCTGGTAACTGTCGACTTTTCACTAACAGATTCAATAATCTAATGGTTTTGTATTGCTTCTAACCATAAATTCATTTTTCGTCTCCACTCTAAGAAGAAAAGTCGTTAAGGTAACTTTTGTTATAGTATCACATTATGTCCATCTGGCAAAGAATTAACATTTTAGCGATAAATCTTAGATTAAAATATAAGCCATATACTTTTGGTCTATTAAAACCAATAAATTTACAATTTCTTGTTGACTTACAGTTTCAATAGGGTAACCTAGTACCAGATGAAAACACTGCTTACTATTCCGTTGTGTTAAATAGCTGTTTAAAATAATTTCGGCTTATGATGTAAATCATTTCTCCAACTACAGTAGAGATTTTTCAATAGCACAGTTAGTTACGGGGTAAGAAGTGACCACATCATTTTCTTGCTATTCAAAGACCATGATTGTAAATATTGATAGCTACAATATATCTCTCGATAGTCTAAATAGACCTTGCTGCTTTTAGGTAACTACTGGCATCCGAAAGAAGTTGGTAATTGTTGGTGATGGAGCCTGTGGAAAAACATGTTTACTCATTGTTTTCAGCAAAGATCAATTCCCAGAAGTTTACGTCCCAACAGTATTTGAAAACTATGTGGCTGATATTGAGGTTGATAATAAGCAAATAGAACTAGCTTTGTGGGATACCGCTGGTCAAGAAGATTATAATCGCCTCCGCCCATTATCCTATCCAGACACCGATGTAATTTTGATGTGCTATTCTATTGACAGGTAAGATTATTAGGACGGTTTGATTTTATATTTCGATCACCAGAGTACAATATAGCCTTGTATTAATCGAATTTATTTTGGTTCGTTATGGAAGTTATGTGTGGATGTGAACTAATTAAGTTTAGTAGTTCGGTGAAACCTAAAACAAGTAATCAAGTTATTTGTGCGTGAAATCTTCAAAAAGTATTATTTGGAATTCAGACAACTAATAAAAACAGTTAAACGTTCATAATAAAAAACTGTGAACATCTACTTCGTTAAATTATAGAAGTTTTGAACGGGGAATTTTCGATTTTGTGACGCGGGACAGGGATGGCCTCATTTTTCAATACTAAAGCAAATTCACTGAACGTTAAAAGATTGGAAATTTATGAATATGGTTTGGTATAACACTAAAGGATTCATCAATTCTAACACACTCAATTTGTAGTGAACAGAACATGGGTGGGGACAATCGAATGTATTTAACACAAAATTACAGGGCTTGTTAATGAAATCTAACAATCATAAAGTAAATGCTTAATTTGCAAAATGCCCACCAATTGTCTCAAGATGACTCAGACTTGATTGTTCTTGTATTTTCATACAAATTACATTTTGTTTTCATTCTTTACTGTTCGATCCTCTTGTCTCTCTGCTTCCAGACCTTCCGTTCGCGACTAACATCATATACTACTTATGTCAATATAAGTGGCACACACCACAAATTTACTTACGGTTTCAAATTCATATTTATGCATAAATGTTTGTTTCACCTGAAATTTTACCATTACTATGATTGGGTTTGCAAAGTTAGGATTTGGTGATCTGTTTGAAAATATTTTTCATATTTCCGTATCTAGATTTAACCAAAACTCAAATAATAATAAATCTTATCATGTGTAGATACAATATGCCCGGAAGAGTAAGTCAACTTGATTATATTCACTTCTAGTTGCGCTGCTAGCAACGAAACCTGATGAATAAACCCAATTATTTATATATGCCAACGTTTGTATCCAATTAATGAATTAAATAGTGTCATTCTGTAGTGGTAGGAAGAAAAATAACGACATGGGGTTGAAAACATGTTTATTTGACACTTTCATGCCATATACCTAAATCACAGCGTGAAACTGTTTTGCCGCACGATTTTTTTGCTAGTAAATTCTCAAGTTACTGATTGTTGGGTTCATTGAGTAAAATATCCAATTTGGTAAATGTGATAATAATCGGGGCTTAGTTACTTACCTTTATCCAGTCTCTTTACCTGATAACTTCAACAGTGCCATAAATGGTACGGAAAGTAAGTCTTCAGAAATAAACGTATTTATGTCTTGGTCAAAGAATAGAGAAAGTAATGCTTCAAAACCTATGTATTAGTAAATAATTAGCTAGTCAGTAGGAGATATCTCACTTTAAGCGACTTTTTGTGGTTGTAGTCACTTGGTTAGAGGATATAATAGCAGTGCACACTTATGTTACTTTTCACATTAGTTAGAAAAAATGTTTTTTGTTCATTCTTTTTGATCTTATAACTAGTCCTGACAGTTTATCTAATATCAAAGAGAAATGGATACCGGAAGTTAAACATTTTTGCCCAAACACACCAATTATATTGGTTGGAAACAAGAGTGATCTCAGATATGATGATAAAGTTATCAATGAACTTGCCCGTTTGGGTCAACATCCAGTTACATCTAGCGAAGCAAAGGCAGTGTCTGCTTATATTGGTAGGTTCAATATTATTTAGAAATCGTTTCAACGTTTATCCAAAGTTTTATTTAATTGATCAGTAGTCAATACAAGCCTAACTATTAGAAACTCCTTAATTCATGATCCACACAGTATAACTAAAGATGCAGATTGACTCATTTTAGTTACAAAAGCGCATCTTTATTTTATAAATGGTCCTGTATCTAAAGCGGATTAATTTATCACTTGGGTGTGTTGATAGAAATTTACTACTTCTATTATAAGCATAGATCTAATAGAGTTGTATGTTTTAAATTGCCGTGAAGTTTATCACCCGTAGAGTATACCTTGTTGACAATCACCAGGAGTCCTTAATAACTAAAAACAAACTAACTTAATGAGCTTCTCTCAACAGAGATTTATATAGTTAAATCTTATGTAGTCATTTTAATCGGGTTTAAGTCGACGATCAGTCTGCTAAAGTTTCATTGTGCAAGAACATGCTTTTATCATGTTAATGAATATTAAAACCACAAAAAGCATTATAAACTGATTAATTTGTCAATACTTAGTGTACCTCCAGACAATTCGGACAATATGTTAAACTGAGCTGTATTAAAATATACAGTTATTTTGGCTCTGTACTCATGAGATGATTTATTTAATCAACCCATTTTTTCAGGTACTGATTTACATACTTAGTTTTGAATCACTTTCTACATGTTAGCGTTAATGAGATACTACCTGATTGCCCAAACCGTAGTTGGTCGAGTGGCTGATTTGAACTTGCGATTATATATATATTACTACGTTTGTTCTTATTTCATACTTTTCACTTTTCGAAATTACTTTTTTCTTTCTTTTTTTAGTTATCTCATCTGTTTTTTATTTTCCTATCATAAATTCGACTTTTGTTCTTTCCCTCTTAGTAATTTCTCCATATTTTTACTGATATGTTAAGTGTGTTAACTGAAGAGTTCCTGTCTGTGGTGGGTGGAGGGAGATTAAGTCAATGATCACAAAAATAATCAGTGATAATTTTTGTGTTAATCAGTGTTTATGAAAATAAGGTATACTAGGTATCTTATATGCCTAATCATCATTATTTTTAAAGATTGTAATTGATGCGTCTCAGCAAATAGATTCACTAACGTGATACTTCCGAATATGAAGGCTATTTACGCCAAAGTTCTATTAGTTAATAAAGCGTTACCATCTAATAGATGGTTTGTGATATTCAACACTTCCTTATCACTATCTGAACTGCTTCACTCTACGTCTGTTTTATATACTGAAGCTAGAGCTAAAGTTTTCTTCTACCTCTTACTTTCCGCTTACGATGTTTACAGATTCCTTAGGAGAAAACCACACAATTAACTTAAAACCATGGAATTATCTGCAACGATAATAGGAAACCACAAGAATAGGTGGCTTTTTGCATATGTTCACAGAAATGCCTATTGTTAATATCTACTTCACTCTATAGGTTCATCAGTGACTCAGTCATAGATAGCGTTTGGTCTCGCACAAATGTCCATCAATCTAATTTACCACATATCACATCATTATATCAAAAGAAGACAATAATATAATTAGAAGCAGATAAGTGATAACATTAAATATTCTTCGTACTCAAAAGCTGGAAGATGGTTGCGCAATTTTATGAATTTGTTAAACATGTATACTATTAGATGGTGGCTCAATAGTTTAAAGGTTGAGCAATTGACTGTGAAACCGAATGTTCTGGGTTCGATCCTTTGTGGCTTTATTTTGAGTAAACAATGTTGATAAGTTCCATACTGGGATGAAAAAGGTGTTCAGTGCTTCCTGATTCTCAAGGGTTATTTAACAAAGATCAGCTTGTGACGTCAATCATAAAATTAAAAATCCCTGTAAATCTTTTTTAGTATTATTTGAGTAAATTAGAACAATGAGCAATACTACCAGTCTTTTTGTATTTTCTATAATTTCTGGGTTGTTTTTGCCTCACTTAATTTGTTTTATGTATTCATTTTGACAAATTAGGCGCTTACGGAGAAATTGAATGTTCGGCGAAAACTAAAGAAAATGTACGTCAAGTATTTGAATTAGCCTCTAGAGCATGTTTAAAAATACAGAAAAAACATAGAAGTTATAAATTATTTTGAACTTTACTCTTCTTCATTTGTTTTCTATTTTCGATAGATAATTTAATAATATTATTTATCTAATATTAACTTATTTATTTCTTGCTAGTAAGTATTATTAACCTTTATTTCTTTCACTTTGAAACGATGGATAAATGACTGAACACAAGAAAAAGCTGTTGACTTCCTTTTCACATTCCTACTTTTCATCTCCAGTTGATCTTATTCCGCTGATACTGCTGCAACTAGTACCGTTCATTCTAGGGTGTTACTTCTTTTTGTAGTGTTGTTTTTTATGCGGTATTATTATTATTATGTGTACTTTATTTATTCTACTTAAAGAAAATTGATCTTTTTTTAATCAACAACTAATGTCAATATGGGTATGTATCTCTCTGTGTGTGAGTTCGCATTACCCATTTAATGATAATCATTTGTATATCTCATTCCAAAGCTTATTGTTCTTTAGAATGAACAATTATTTGTACAATGAATTATTTTTGATTGTTCATTGAATATGTATCCATTGTGCGCACGTGTGTGTTTAAGTGTTTATTTTAAATTCCTAAATAAAAAAGTGTCTTATATCGGATTTCTTAAAAAGTTATTTACTTTTTCTGCCGAAAATGACTATTTGTTTATGATTTGTAACTAAAATAAAATAAGTAAAGAGAGAAAGAGAGAGTGGTTCAAAGTATGAGAATTGAATTGGTTTTCTAATGATCTGGTACAGTTGATAAAGTGTTGAGTTATTTTGATGAAGTTTTGTTCTCTGTGCTGGATGGTCTAGTCGTAGAGCTTTCATCGTTCTTCTGAAAGACATCATCAGCATAAACTTCAGGTAGAAGTTGTGTTGAGTTATACTTATATAACTTTTGAATAAAGAAAACATTTCAGTAAATAGACACTTTTTATATTGATTCTGAAGAAGTCTTATTTAAACTTATTGATATTTCGTAATCATTAAACATTTGTAGTTCCGTATTATGAACTAACCGGTTAGAATGAGTGTATATTGATAAACTTTGTCAAGAACAATATCAACATGATAATAGCTATCATTTTATGACGTAATTGTAATCGTTTATCTAATTCGATCACACGTTTCTGTGGTAACTTTAAATTTTCTGTCTTGAAACAGTGAAATTTTCGAGATATTAAAGCTTTACGTGATTAAACTTACTATAAAACGATTTATTCTTAATACTTATTTTCATGTCTTTTGTTTGGTGGTTATCATTAACTTGTTGTAATTTATTTGTATTAAATAGTTTAATGTAAATTGTTAAAACTATTGAAGATATACACAATCTTTAGAAATTCTTGTTGATCATCCTTAAACGTTATGAAGATTTTGTACATCTTTACACTAACACTTTGTAATCATCAAAACGATTACCTGTTACAATTCTTTAAAGCAATAAACCATGGTTTCTTCGTCATAATTTAGTATTATGACTGATAGAAATAATTCAGCACATTTATGTGATGGCTCAATTTTAAAGAACTAACCTTCTTTATACAATAATTTATTTGGTACATCAGATATTGTGTCTGAATATTATATAGATTACAAGTAAATACCATTCATAATTCATCACACTATCTTCTTAATTAAGTCACTTTTCCTAATCCTCAGTAAAGTTTAGTCAGCTAAGATAAGAGAGTGATTATTTATAAATAGAGTACACCAGGTAAAATTGCCATGATCGAGAGACGGTATGTTTGTATCCAGATTTAATCATCGCTTTTTACAAAAGTTTGTCGTTTAACTATTTTCATAAGCAAAAACAGCAGGTCATTCTCATCTTTACTCATGACTGTTACTCCTTAAACTTGAATTTATCATGATCCAAATATGTGTTTCTGATATGATCTATATTTATCTGTTGTTTAAATGAACATGGAAATATTTTCAAATAAAGATTACGTATAGCATTCAAAAGTGAGTTAATTTGAGTAGGCGTTAATTACGAAATATCACTGACTAGGAACTCCTTTGTTTGAACATGCCCATAATTTGTCATAAAAATTTGTTTTCATATGTGTTACCTTAGCGTAAAGCTTGAGAATGCATCATTAGTTCCGACCATTTGTACTGAGTCACTAAGTCTTAGCATTCTAGTTATTTCAGAATTCCTATTAGGTTCACTGATCTCTTCACAATACTTGTCATACATTTACTGATCAGCTGTGGATAATGAAAGATAATCTTAATGTTAAACATTTCTCACCAAAGTTTACTTAGTTAACACGGACGAGATATTCTTTTGATCTAAACAATGATCTATGGTAAATAATAGGTGTGAAATGAAGTTTAAAGAAAACTAGCTCACACAGTTAATTTTGAACAAAGAATAATTGAATAACTATTTAATAATAATAAAAAGTTATTGATTAATAAGAACTAAATTAAATATTGGATATTGGCATGAAAATAAATTAACTTGTGTGGATATTTTGAGTCTCCCTGTTGATGTTGGGAACTACAGTTGATCACTTTCCTTTGGCATATATGCATCCAATGTAGATTGCCTCGGAATCGCCATTCAGTCAAAAGTATTTGACATGCAGTCAGTTGTATAAACTTGCACCATTGTTGATGCTCACACCAGGACTCGAACCTAGTACCTCTAACTCCAAACACCCAACTTAGCTACTAGTCTAAATGGTCATTGGCTTGTGCAACAGCGTAAATTTCCCTCCATTTCTATTGGCTGGTTAAATAGTTCTGTTCAAATTCGTTACAATTAAGTGAACGTAAATTGTTAATAATAATTTAAAATGGATAGAAAAAAACTAAGAGAAAAAACACTGCAGTAGGAACAACTAATAGATAAATTTGAAACCAACTTTCTGTGATTTCTAAACAGCATAGATCATACCGTAACTCAGTTTTAGTATGACAACAAGTTATTTTAGAAGTACACTGATTTCTAGTTTTATTTGCATTTCTGATGTTCATAAAAACGAAAGTCATATATCAAAGACGGATTGTGGCTAGCAGTGTGACAAAATTGTTATCAGCGTTACGATGATGTAAAGCATGAATATAGTTGTTAGTGAATTGTTGTAGGCAATTCATATTCAAATATTCTTTTGATTCGAGTTAAAATAAATAAGTCAGAAACTTCCATAAGTATTTGACTAGGGTTTATCACTGCTAATTTCTTTGGTTACATAAGTTATTTGTAGATAGACTCCAGGAAAATGAACCAGAGAATTTTGCAGTAAAAAATGTCTTCAGTAATCATGGATCCTTTCGTTTACTTCTTGGTCTCTTGTTACTTTCTAGTTAAAATCTGAATAAAGAATGACTCTCTGTCAATCATTGGATGTAAATTTACCTTACAGCATAACAGACCATTTTTATTTATTCAAAAAAGTAAATTTTTATACTTATTCTATCGCTTATGTTTGATAGTTTCCAGTTAAGAGCACTTATCCAAATTCAATCATTTCGATCAATCATATTAATACAACATAATAGCATTCCATTTATGACTTATGTTGTCAATTATATTCAATATTAAAAGTTCAGGTAATGTGCAAACTATACACTTCTATAGATTGTTTTAATTATTTGTTAGTTTAGTTATATGAACTATTTGATTGGTTGATTGAATTACTGATCAATAAAAGTGATCAATATACTTGTGAATATAATGATTGATGAGTGCACCATTTAAAAATTGATTTCAGCTTTTATTTTAGTGATGAGATGTAGTTTTTATTTGTAAGTTCGTTATATAATAAGTAGTTCATTGTTTTTCATTCTTTCATTTTACTTTATTATTAAGGGCTGATAGATGAGGAGGAGTTCAATAAAAAAGAAAATGCGTGTAGAATACTCGCATTAACCACTGGATCGTGTTTATTGAAAAGAAAAAAGCCTCAAATAGTTTTTATCTTTAAAATATCTATGGTAAATTGTGTTGTCTTATGATTTGTTTATTTTACACGTAATTTCCAAGAAGAAATACTACCGGCTGAAGTACTACCTAACTATTTCATCTTGGCTTAGCACTGTAAAACAGTATGCGCACAGAAGTTTACGAAAGCTCGACAAGTCTTATACTATGGTGATACAGTTGTTCTTGAATCTCCGAGATTATATGGCTTTGCGAACAATATCGGACTGTAGTTAAAATGAGCCCTGCTTAGCATGCAAATACTAGTTAAAATCTTTTATTCAATTGTTACAATAAAATCTTAAGGCTTAATCAATAAATACAATGATCACTTTATTGAATGTTAGATAATTGAAGTCTATCACCAGGAAAAGTTGAATCTGAGCTATATGGAGCCTTTATCACTTAAAACTTCAGCCAATAGTACTACCACTTTTGTGTTCTTTTTCAGTTACAGCTGGCCAAACAAAGAAAATAATGATCTCTATAGATTTTTTGATGATAAATAATGAGGTTGAAATTAATATCTGCAAGAAAAACACATTGAGTGTACAATTTAACATCGAAAGTTTCAATCAATTGGATTATCTAATAAAGTATTAGAGGGGTTTTGCGGAGCAATATGCTCTCATGACCTAACCACTGGAAACCGGAGCCATGATCTACAGTCTTGCGTGTGGTATTGTGACAAGATAAAGTTTTGTTGCTGAACTTTGTAATAATAATATATTCCCTACCTCAATTCTTGTAGCTAAATCCAAAACGTTGGGCCTATTTTTCAGACGTATGATATGCTGGAGCAGTCTGACATATTAATTTAATACCTATTGATAAGTCAGAAACTGGTAAACTCACTCTCTTGATCATTATTCGACTCTACTTTCTGAGGAAACATATAAACTCCATAGGTTGAAAATTTGAATCAATTTTTCGACGGAGGCAGGTATATTGGAACTTATGTTAAATCTTACTCCATCCACTTGAAGTATTGATTGCCGAGATCTTTTAATCATACGCTTTTGTTACTGATGGTTATTGCCAGTTGTTTTTCTTATTAGATGTAAGTTCATTCTATATGCTTACTGAGCCATCACCACACTTTTCCTTTTGTCATTCTCTCTCCCAGACATTTTCTTAAGCAGTGCTTTTCACACTCCCTGCCACACGAAGTACTCTTTAGCTAGACTCAAATCTACCAAAGGCTAGAAGTTAGGATGTATTTATTAATGAGCTTTTGTATATATTTTGATTCGGGTTTGTTAATAAAAGCCTTCCACACGCTCTGCGTTATCTCGCTGAAGTAAATGATTGATCTTTCGAACAGGAATCTTGTATATCTGTAGCAGAATAAGATGAGTATCCAGAACAACAAATTTTCTGGTGACGAACTTTCGACTCAACACGAAAATCAATTCATAATCTAGACATCATTAACGGAGCTCTAATCAATTTTCCAGTGACGGAAGAAGTAAGTTGAAGCATATCAGTAGATAGCGAAGAAAAGGTTGACAAAGGTTTTTTTAGTGGCGCCGATTTCAACTCATTTGTCGTATCTTGAGCTGTTGCCATGCGAATTAACAATCAATTAACTTTTCCGGTCCCATATGAACCCGAAACCATCATCGATGGAAGTTTGAATGTCACTCAAGACATTAATAACCATGATCACAAAATTATCCGATGTTCA